ACTAAGGCAACGGCAAGAGACCTTCCGAACTCAAAGACATGCAGCTTGTAACCAAAGATCAATGACCAAAACACCAGTAGAAACATGTTGACACTGAGGCTGGTTCATGTAAAGCAATGAAATACTTCATTACTTTAGAAATAACTGCTGAAATCTTTCAATAAATATAATCTCTGTTTAAAATTGATACTTAATTTTAGTTTGTCATATTTGTCAAATGCATGTTTCGTTTAACAGACTTATTGTTCCAAGGAAATTCATTTTAAATCTTAAAAATTTGGTTTGACTGTTTGAGTAGTCACGGTTCTTCTTTTAGCCCCTGTTATAGAAAGACCTTGGATGTATTGAAACTATACATCTTAAGCCCTGAGAGACAAGCTGTCTTGTGATTATTGACATGTGGGGAAACATGTCAACCTAAACAAATTTCCTGCAACTAATTGTGTTTGAATGAAGTTTATGTGTATTTAGAGATTCAACTGTAGCTGACAGGTGAATGTAGCACCTCCAGGCATCGGGAAATGTGACCCAGTGATGAACCAGACTTATCGAGATACCACAATTCCTGGTGTTTTGAATCTTGTCTATTGATTTTAGTCTCACTAAATATCAGACAGTTAACACTGTCTTTTTAAAAAGCATTCAACAAACTGTTTTGTAATATTCTGGCCAGTGCACTGGCCTGAATATAAATAGACATAAACATGAACTTTTCTGGGACATGAATTTGCTTTAAAGCATGTGACTATTTTTTTTCCTGAAGCACAGTGTATAAAAGCAGGGGAGTCACAGGCACTTTTTTTTCTTTGCATCTGCTCCTCATTAAAGCTTGCTAATAAACAGACCTGTGGTTCCACCTGGTCTGGTGGGGTGAGGAATGGAGAACATTAGGAGGATTTGGCCTTTTCTAGTTCACCTATCATACCAACTGTCTCTAGACAAACAACCCAGTTTGATCCCCAGACATTAATATGACACAATTTTTCCTGATCCTCATAAAGGTTTTGCATCGAGTCTTGCTGTTGACGACTGTGACTTTAGAATACAGAAGATTTCACCTGCAGATGAGGATCTAAATACATCGAGAAATGTTGATGCATTGCTTAAGTGTGCTAAGTTTATCAGTGAAACAGTAATTTAAGACAAAAGTTAGTAGATGATGCATTTGTTTGGACTGTTGTTTTGCAGCAGAAAAGTAATTTTATTGAATCCCGGCTTGAGGTCTTTCTGTGTGGAGATTGCACATTCTTCCAGTTGATCCATGGGTTCTATTGGGTTCTATGCACAGCTCAAAGACATGCATGTGAGGTTAGCTGGCCTCTCAAACATTCTGAGAGTACTTAGAGAACATCAATGAACAAAACAGGATCATAAAGTAACACACCAAGAAGGTCAGGGAAATGTTATCAGCTATGTTATGATGAAGTCCACCCACCATACTGAAATATGGTGGTGGCAGCATCATGTCAGCAAGGACTGTGGAACCAATTTGAGTTCATCGGAGGTTGGATTGAGTTAAATACAGAGTTTACTGACCAAAATGTTGTGACATGTTTAAAATGCATTCCTCCTTAATGATGCTTAAGGAAGAATGCCTGCTAACAGATGAATATACTTAAAACCTGACATTATAGAGGTTTTTCTGAGTAATTCTTTCTAGGTCCAATTCCAGGTTATTCATCCCAACCAATCTCAAAACAAAGTGAGTTGAGGGATTTGGATTTGGGATCAATTTGAATGTGATTTCTTTTTGAAGAGGTTTGTGTCTCTACAAAGGAGAGTGACTGAGATTGCAACAGACTACAATCTCTCCACACTAAAAAGACCAGCAGGACGGCTCAGAAGTGTGATGTACGCTGCATGGAAAACAGAAGCTCAAATGGCAGCAGATGTCCAGGTGGACATGTGCAGCCCAGAAAGTTAAAAGTGCTTTGCATCCACATGGACTCCAATAGATGTAGTAAAGCAAGTACCATATTTCCAGACTAAAAGTCGCAATTTTGTTTCATAGTTTGGCCGGGTGTGCGACTTATACTCCGGAGCGACTTGTATGTGGAAATTAACACATTATGTCATATCACATGTTATTTTAACACTAAACCGCAAGAGGGCGCTCCAGGCCTGTGTTATTCTACTTCCGGAGTTAGCGGAGTTGTTTACAAGTGACACCAACGACGAAGATTTCATTGTGTTCAGAGATTTGGTTTGGTAAACTTAGCATGTTATTTATGCTATAGTTATCTGAATAACTCTTAATATGTTATGCTAACATACCAGGCACATGTTTGTCATGTAACGTTATCATGCCGTACAATTCTTCAGCCTGTTGTTGCCTCTGTTCTATTTTTATTGCCTTTCAAGATGACATGTCTGTTCTTCCAGAACAGACATGTCCAGATTAGCAAAAATCAGTGTGTGCTGTTTCTGGGTTGGATTCAGTAAGAAGAGGCTGATTGGTGTTTGATGTTCCCAATCTTTGGTTCAATGAAACCATTTTAAAGTTGCAGTATGTAACTTTTACAAAAAAGATGTATATTTGGGTGTTGGGTGTTGGATAAAATTCAACGCCCAAATGGTGTTGGATTTTATCAAATAAATTTCCCTCAAAAATGCGACTTATACTCCGGTGCGACTTAAAGTCCGGAAAATACGGTACAAGTGTCACACCGTACAGACAGAACACACTGTCTCTCTATCCAGACGTCTTTGTTAATATCAGACTTTAGCTCTGGTTTTGACTCCATGTGAGTGGCGTTGTGCACTCAAACTAAGGTGAGTGTGTTATTGGGAGGGCGGGGAGGTGGGTAGCAGGCGGTGTTAAGTCAAGCAGGAACCCTCAATGTTGCTAATTTATTTACAGATTTAATTAGATGGATAGAGCCCTCACTGATATAAGAAAGAGAGGAGAGATGTTGCCAGCGTTACAGCACTTTAATTATGGTAGCAGGCTCCTGATCCCTGCGCTCTGCTGTCTGGGGAGCCAGTTAATTAAAATCCTCATTATTTTACTTTTAATTAGTTCCCCCCTCTTTTGTTTCCTTTCACCATATGGCCATGTTCCGTGGTCAAATTAACGTAATTGAGCTAATTAAGCCGATCACTTTAATTATTCAAAGCGTTCCGATTGGCCAGGAGAACTTTTCTCTCTCCCCTCACTGACATTCCTGAATGAGGCTTTGAGTTGAAAAGTCGCCCTCTTTGTCATCGTGCTCCTCTGCTGTGAATTATTGCTGCAATAGCTCAGTTCCTCCATGTTCCTAGTCTGTCTCATGTTTCACTACCACACAATAAGGGGTATGCAATGCAGCTTTGTGGCTCTCAGGGTGTTCAAAGAAGATTCTGAAATATCTGGAACATTTAACACATTACACTGTTTGCTTCAGCAGTCATCTGGCGCTTTAGAATTTTAAGTTTCAAAAAGCTGTTAGCAGCTTAAGAAGCTTTTTGAAGGGTTGTCAACACAGTAAAGATCTTTCAGCAGCATGCTACCAGCCGGATGGTGTTTTTAGAGGATGTTAGGGAGAGTGCAGTGCCTGAGGGTGGATGATGCCTGTCTGTCAGCATTCTTCTAGGGCTAAAAAAACACTTGTGAAGTGTTCTTTAATTTCATCATTTCTTCTCAACCTGCTTCCTTGCTTTGTTTTAAGGGATGTATCTGACTGCAGGGCCCATTAGCTCTTCATTCATTCCTTTCTCTCTTTTCCCAATACCTAAACCTAATTTTAAACTTGACACCTACTTCTAATAATAACAGTTAAATTCTATATTTCTTATTAAGCTCCGTACAGCTATGAACTGCAACAGATAATGGATAGGAAGGAATGCCATGCTTGAGCCAGAAGAGACCGTGAAGACTCTGGTAAGAAGGCGTTCACTGCAGATTCTGCATTCATTCTCAGACTCTCTTTCCCAAAAGAAGGGATGTGATCCTCCAGTTTAGGGATGATAACTGTGATTTGCTCCAGTGTAATTACACAAAGTATTTACCACCAAAATATTAATGAGGGAGATCCTCAGACAACAAGCTTTGGACTTCTAGCATCTCTGGATTGTTCACAGGATGAAGCTGGAAAGAATCGTTCATCATCAAATATATCTTGTTGATTTAACTCTGCAGAATTTGCTGTGCAACATAACTGCTATGTGGACATTCAGAGGGTCAGTCTATCAAAATCTGATTAAAGGTTCCCCAAATCTAGTCATGTTTTTTCTTAAAGCGGTAGTATCATGTAAAATTGACTTTTGTGAGCTTTATGTTATGTTCTTCCCTCATCCTTTTATCTCCCAGCAGCCATGTGGGGCGCCTAAGAGCTTGCTCGCACCATGCATCACTTTTTCCATACCGCTCCTTCTCAGAGCTGCTACCTCAAGCCGAGTTTCCGCTCTACAAAGGTTTTCCCACATAGCTCCTTCAGACTAGCCAGCAGCAATTGGTAACACCTGGTGGAGCTGCTGAGCTCATAACATAAACTACTTCTAAAAAATGTTGTCTTCAAGAGACAAGGAAAATAAGTCATTTTCACCTGCTCAACAATAAACTTAGCATGCAATATTTTATTAAATCAAAGTAGTCCCAATTTTTGGGAGGAAATCAGTTGGTAATCTTGGACCAAAACCTGAAAATGAGATTTGCATGTTTGTCTCATTAAAAGAAACAGATTCATCTTGAATTTTTTTTTAGAATTTCTGTATAAAAAATATTGTGAATTCTCATCACAAGATTTGGATAAAAATGTCTTTGCTCAAGTTTAGTAAAATAATTGAACACAGATTTGGGTGAATTAAAATCTAATTAAGAGTAAAAATCACTGGTTAAATGTGGACAGATTTATTATGAACAGATGAATATTGTGTTGTACCTAATTGTTATTTGTCTCTTATAATTTTGTCCTAATAAAATAATTACTACCTTTATCAACCATCAATTTATTCCATTCTTAAATTGCACTCAGGGGCCATACAAAATCAGCCCTGGGGCCACACTGTGGACACCCCTGATGTAGACTAACCAAACTGGCTGCCCTCTAATAGTTTGTTCTTGACCTCTGAATCTTTACCGTTTCCCAAAAGAAGAATAATAATGTAAAACAAATCTGGAAGGAATTTGTTTACTTGCAGTAACATTTCTCAGTCTCTGCTACCTCAGTGGTGACCTCTTGGTGACCTCAGTGGTGATCTGTGAGTCTTACATTGAGAAGTTAGCATTCCAGCTAGTTTACCTTTTATACAAGATGGCACAATAAAACTTACAGACCACTGATTTTAATTATATAAACACAACAAACATTCAGATTAAAGACCTTATGTTGAAAATTTCACTTGGGGATTTTTTTTCCTTGGTACATTTGTTAGTCAAAGTTTCTTTTTTACAATTTAATTTACGCTTAGTGACAAACCAATCACAGAGGTGCTGTCATCTCCTGCTTCACCAAAACTACTCTTCCACTCACACAAAGGAAGGCAAAGATGTTGGCTCTTCATCTCAGGAAGGTTGGATGGTATGCATAAAAAAGGAAGCTTCGTTGGTCTTCATCTTCTTCATCATAAGCACATAAAAATACCCCGGCATCTTCTCGAGTCTTCACACAGTGTGAGGTGAAGGAGCTTCGGCAATTACACTCGTGCATGTGTTAATATGATTAATTAGCATGAATAAACACTTTCCTATGACACAGGCTACATGGTGAACCACACACCTGCAGAAGCTCTGATAAAAGATAACGCCTCATGGCAGAGAGCTTTTTCTTGAGACCTGCTAATTGGCATGTGAAAACGGTCGGGCTAATTAGGAGAAGGCAGATGATGCTTGATTAGTTTGAATGCAAAGTGCAACTTGTGGTGCGTTGGGACTCAGGAGTGTGCCGAGGTTGTATTTTTTTTACCGTCGCGATACAAAGATAATTGTAATTGTGATCATTTGCATACGTTAATGAATTTGCGTGACGCTTCTTGATCAGACGTGGAATAAATAATTGATGCAGCATCAGCCTAGACCATGACAAGTGGGACGGTTTGAAATAGCTAAGCGCATTAAAAGGGAAGTTTGATGGCAAGCCGCACACCCAGGCAAGGTGTGAAAGTAGAGCAGATGCTATCGCTTGGTTTCCTGCACGCAGCGTGCTCTACCGCCGCTATCACAAAGATTAAGGCGCCACCTTGGATGGTATGCTGGGGCTTTAACATTTGCACGCAGCATAAGAAAGGCATGAAGCCGAATTAGGTGCAGTTCTTGGAAATCATTTTCAGAAGCCATGCAGAGTGGCACAAACCAAAAGGCGCTGTGTGACCAACCAAACCGGGCTGTGTGGGAGCTCTAATTGAAACAAGATAAAAAGTAAATACATCAGATTGTTTAAAATGCCCTGGCTGTTGGGGATGGGGGCAGGGCTGGGGGCCCTCCCCTTTAATTAGCCCCTTTCAGATTAGGCTTTATTAGAGGCAGCCATCCAGTCAGCCACACAGCATATGCCCTAAGATCAAGCTCCCAGGAGCTCCAGTAGCACAGATACAGGGCTCATGCTTAATTGTTTCTGTAAATGGTCAGAGCTCAAGCCCCCTAAATCCATTCCTCGGGGTAATCAGGCATGTTTTCACCATACAGGGCTAAAGAGGGCGAGAGAGAGAGCGGGAAAGAAACATCCACCATGCCAGGTACCAAGCAACACAATGGCGCACTAATGCCGCAATGACCTCAGGTCGCTTCGTGACATGTTACAGGAAAATTGTTTTAATAGGATTTTTGTTTTCATACCCACAGACCCCACCTCACCACCCATAAACACATTACACAGGCATCTGATAGAGAAACTGTACAGAAGGAAAACAGTAAAACCATTACAGGAATATTGCACATCTTTGTGCAGTCTGAGGCATGGATGAGCCGTTTATGGCGCATACAGCCATGGATTACATCATTTAATGGCTCCCTACAATTGATCACTGTCAGTTACACAAATCATTCTCAGTGCTTGGATCTCATGACCAGCTAAAAAGATTAAAAAAAAAAAAAAAAAACAAAGGAGGAATAATATGACATGGCAAATGTAGTTCCATCACTTTCTGTAAGTTCACAGCAGCCAATCACACTTCTACAGTGATGTTTTTTGTTCCCTCTGCAGTTTTATACAGCTTTTCTGAGTCACAATTTTCCTCCAGCTTTGTTCAGTCTTGAAGGAGACTTTTTGCCACTGCAGCCCCCACATAGTCTCAAGTCTTTACACAGACCACTTTGCCATTGAGTGTTAACAGAATGGAGATGCTGTTCTATACAAAACCTCTGAAATAGTGAGGGAGAAGACCTCTTACAGGAGAAAGTGGAGCCTTGCTGGGAAAAGTGAGACTGGAGGCTCCCCAACAACAAGTACAACAGCGACAGTCGCAGTGGACGAAGGAATACATGGAGGGAAGGAGAAGGCTGAGAAGGGAAGGAGATGAGGTCGCTCTGGATTCTTCCCACTTAGCATACCTGGACATGGGACAGGACAAGGAGGAATGGGTCACAAAACACATCAGCTCTCTGATTGGATAGTCATCTTTACTTAAGCAAGATGAATTAAATCACACATTACAGAAAAAGTAAAAATGTGATCCACAACTATTTAAAGCTTAAGATGGCAATAAACAAACATTTTTTTCCCCAAAAGCAGCTTCCAAGAACATCCATACAAAAGGGTTTCATAGCAAACTAATGTTATAAATTGAATATTACTTCTGACTTTAAAGGTCAAGTAGTTGCTTCACCAGTTTGGACCCTCAGCAACAATTTCATCCCTCCATTTTTTGACTTGATAAACAAACCATTTGGTATCCATTTGTTTCAACAAAAGTCACCGCTGATTAAACCCAAATGAGGGGCACATGATTGATACGAAAGTCATATGGTAGTTTTTAATACAAGAAAGAGGCCAGTGCTCCATAACCAAACCTGCAAAGGAGCAAAATGGCAACAAGGACAAAATGCAGCCTAGTGATCCACATAAACACCTTGCTTTAGATGAATGGCTCCTGCCAGAATGCAGCAACATTGGGAGATCAGTACTGCAACACTGCATCAGGTCAGGATGGAGCACTATCTTTTGTTGTGTTAACATGTTTTATAGTGTTAGAGGTTAGGGATGACGTTTCTTTGTAAAATATAAAGAATGAATGTGTGAAAAAACTATTCATTCAGTGCCAAACTATGTTCCTTGATGTATTTTCCAAACTCATGTAAAAGTTATTTTTTCCTTTTATGGTCAGTGTTAAAACTTGCATCTGACAGACTTTTCTTTCCCACCGGCGTTAACTTAATGTCGGTTAGTTTTCTCTTGCTGCATGACTCTGAACAATCATCTCAGTAACCCTTTTATTTACCTTCTGGTCCGTCAGCACTGAGCTGCTCTGAAGTGGGGCCAGGTGGCTGTTGTGCAAAGCAGCACCGGGCCTGTCATGTTCACAGAAGATTGTACCGTTGATGTAATGGAAGCGATCCCCGGGAATTAGTCGGTTTCTACAGGTGGCACAGCTGAAACACTGCAAGGGTGTATGGGGGGAAAGGAACAGAGTCTGAATGAATAATAATAAAGTCAATAAAAGAATCAGAAAAGATGCAGATTAGGAAAAAAAAAGAAACAGCTGGTCTGCAAAGTCAGCCAAGGTGAAGCAGAATAAACCAGAAGGCTCAACATCACGTAAAATATAACAATAAGTACAACCGTTGGAAGGACTAAGGGAAGGAAAAAAGAAATACCGTTCCTTCTGTGTTCACACTAAACGTGTCTTCCACGTAACAGGAATCAGAGTGAGATGCAGATTAGGGATTTACCTTGATGTGATAAACATTCCCCTGTGCCCTCATCACCATCTCGTTTGCTGGGATGGACTGACCACAGGCACTGCACGCCCCAAACAGCCTGGAAACACACACACACACACACACCACTTTGCTTCACTGTACGACTACTGAAACAATCTACATCGGGCAGCACTGTCTCCTCTGCCTCCTTCTCCTCCTTCTTCTCACTTGATGTAGTCAGTGCGACACAGAATCATGCCCCCTTTGCTGTAGCAGGTGGTGCCGATGTCCCCCAGCTGGGCCTGGCAGCAGGAACATTTAAGGCAGCGTGTGTGCCAGTAGCGCTCCATGGAGAAAAGCAGGAAGCGGTCTGCGATTTTCCCCCCGCATCCAGCACATGACCTGGGAGCTGGTGGGACACTTGACGCTTGGCTGTTCACCATCTTGATGGGGCCCTTGGGCTCCTGGAAGAGTTCAGATAGGTTGATGACTCTGTTAGGTTTACTTTACAAAGATTAAACTGAAAATACATACAGTAAGCTCACCTTCCTGTGAGAACTGTTTTATTACAAGTTATCATAACTTGCAAGGATGACTGGTAGGGATTTCTTAACCTTTAACCTTAAAAACATTCCAAATGACTGATGTTGCTCCAGTGAGAGGCTGATTTAAACTTCACAAACTGATACAGCTTTTAATACTTAACATAGTGCCAATCAGTGAATGGACAAATGCAACACAAGAAAAAGCTGTGAACCAAAAAATTATTATTATTAACAAACCAAACCGGAGAGGCGGGTTTTGCCCATGTTTATGACCAGATAATGGAGGGTTTTCTTCCCAACAGTATGTAGCTTTGAAATGTATGGACATTTCAAAGTTTAGAAGGAGCGCGAGCTCGTAGAAGAAGCTGCACGCTGGAATGCGCGCGAGGACTGAAAACAAGAAAGAGCCGCGTTACCTTATTAGGACAAAGCGTTTCCTTCTTCCGTCACAACTTTACAGAAACTGGAAAAGTGTTGAGAGAACCTTTGGCACGGTCACGGGGGAGTTGCTTTAAGTTTCCACGTCCACAACTGTACCCACAGACTTCCATATAAAAAATGAAAAAAGAACAAAATATATCAAGGAAAACCACGACAGCGTTGAGAACAGGATGACGCGGTGGTGGTTCTGCTGCTTCTCCGTGGCATCCGGCTCTGCGGATTCAGAAGTGGATGGAACTTGGCGGAGGAGCCATGCTGCGGCTGCTCTCCTCTCTTCTTCTCTTGCAGCTGCCTGTCTTCAACAAGCCGTCCTCTTTCCACGCATCTGACAGCGACTCTATTCATCAAATTGCGCAAGGGGCCTTAAATGACCAGAAAGGAGAGGACAGCCTACAGAATGAAAGCTGCAGCCAATCAGAAAGCAAGAGGCGTGTCTCCAATCAAGATGATTTGTAGGTTTATAGTAGCCGTTTAAAATGAACTTTATATCTCTTAAACTTGGCTACATGACTTTAGTGAGACTCAGTAAACATCTATTAAATATTATCTAAAAGAGAAACTTTTGACAATAGTCAAAAACACGATGGAAAGTTGTTTGAATCGTTCCAGTTTAAAACATCTATTACATCAGTGAAACATTTAGTTCTAATGTTATTGCAATTGTTTTAACGGGAGAAGGAAATGTTATTTTTCCACCACACTCAGCAGCACTTATCTGACCTTTATCCTTTGTTTGACTACAAAGCTAATATAAAGAGAACAATCACTAGTTACTTGCAATGCATTGTTTACAAATACAATTTCTTTCTTTTCTTTGACTTGCTGGGTTTTGTGAGGCACCCAGTGCAATGCATCTGGAACACATCAAATTGTCTTTTCATGTCTATTTCATGAAACATGTAAATTGTTATGGCATTTATGGGGCTTAATGCCTCTTTTAATAGATAAGCATTTTTAAGTGTCTTCTTCTTGAGGTCTAACTGTGCTTTTGGTTTTCAGTTTCCTCAGCTCTGGAATCAACTCCCTGAAAACACAATGCAAGCAAACTGTTCATTCCTTACCAGCAGAACTGAAAACATTGCTTCCTGCAGCTTTCCAGTAAATGTCAAATATAATTTTAGCAGTTTATTTTTATCATATTGTACATTTTAATTTCAAAGCCACACTGACTGCTTTGAAAAAAATTTATATCACTTTTCATAAAAATTAGCTGCAAAACAACCAAATTTGGCTGGCTTATTATTATAAAAACTTGTGCATTTGTCTTAAATGAGTATATGGAACAGATTTGAACACTTTTATCTCCTAATTTTTAAAAGTTTCTTGAATGCGTGGGTGTATTCTGAAATAGGGATGGGGCAGAAGTCCACTTTAATAAGTGATCAGTGTTGGAAGAAGCTGAAGCTGGTCCACACAGTTTGGCTGTCAGAAGGGGCCAAAAACCACACAAATAGCCATTCATCCTGCAAAGCCAAGTATAGACTCACTAAACAAGCTACCATCCATTTTTTGCAATACAGAGAAAATCCACAAATGTAATTCTGGCTTCTTTACAGCAGTGTTAACTAACAAACATTTTTATTTCAATAATTTCTTCTATAATATGTATGAAGGCATATTAAGGCCAGGTTGTGGGAATTTTTGTTTAATTATGAGAACATAGTCTATTGGCAAAATAAAGAAAATTTTACCTAATATTATGATTTTATTCTCATGTTTTTCACAGCAATAACAGCCAAGCCTGGCCCTAATATTTTGTCAGAGTAAACCTGAATTCAGAGTCCAAATAAATGGAAGTAAAACATGCTTGTCAAACCAGATGGTGCACTGGTTTGACAATAGAAGGGAAACACGATGCACGCAAACTGTTCATTCCTTATCAGCAGAACTGAAGTGATACAGTTCCCCATTGTTTCCTCTAGATGGGAGTGAACATTCCCAATAAAACAATCCCACATCCAGAGTATCATAATGACAAAGGCATGCTGAGTGAAAGAAAAACTCCCTGTTAATACCTAGAAACCTTCAACAGAACCAGAACAATGGTGCTTATCTGTGTCAACCTGGTAGACTGTATCAGTGTCTTATGTATGATATGTAGGCCAAAGTGCCAAATCACAAAAAAAATAAATGCCTTTTATTTGTGTATTTACGTTATTCAGCACTTTTCACACTCTTTACTATGATTCCACCTGAATTCGTGGTTTATGTGTCAGCGTAATGAGGAGTCAGAACTTCAGGCCCCTGACTGTGTGGCTGCTTATGGTACTGGCTACAGTCGTCACTGCCAGTCTGCATTTCTGTTTGACTCTCCCATTAACGAACGTCATGAGTTCAAATGTTAGTTTAAATGTACTCAACTAAAAAGTGAATATGATTTTCATCTTAATTGTGCTATTTATTAAACTCATGGTGAGATTTGTGAACATGTATAGGATTTTGTGGCTTTTGGACTTACTCTCAATGTTGATTGTCAACCAAACATGTTTTCTTAACAGACAATAATGTTTAGGCTGGATCAAATAAGTAAACATGAAGAGTACATAATAAATAAATAGCCATAAATTGGAAAATATTCAAGAAAAGCCCATTGCTATTCAATATGGAAACTGGATAAAAAAGTTACTGTAATAATTAATAGTCGTTTGATTTTCATGCAGATATGTTTGCTATGTGGTTAGTTGACTGTTCACTGGGTGAGAAGTTCCGGCTCAAACAATTCTGAAATGTTTGTTTGGCTTTGGCTGAGGTCAAACTCAGTGAACTCCTGTCTCACTTGCTGACTTCAGTCTTCATCCACTTTCAGTCTACCAGATTGTATCCAGGGGAAATTTTAAACAGTGTCCCTATAACTTCCAGCCATGTTTTATTGAGCTGTGAGAGGAACTTGTATAGAAAGACCCCAATCCGAAAGCCTAGTCAAAGTCAGGACTTTTCTGCAACAGGTCAACTGGTGCACTGCCTCCACATTTCTCCCTACTTAAAGGGGCAGAACTTTGTGACTTCCAAGCACACAGAGATATTTAATGGCACATTCAAGTAACTATGTTGCATTCATTCTGTGGAGAAGCTAGGTCCATCCTGTCGTTTTAAGTTGAATGGTTGCGATGGGGATTAAAAGCCTTCTCAGATATGCATGAAAGAATCAAGGCAACACTCCAGGCTTATTTTTTATGGGGGAAAAACATGAAACGATGTAAAGGTAAATATATATATATATATATATATATATATATATATACATAACATTTGCCCTTTACATGGCTAAAATCACACACAATGGTTACGTCGATGAGAAACAAATCTTCTATATGCTATATGCCAGACTGCAAAATTATATTCCTTTTGTTTACATCAGACATGCAGTTTAAAAATGAATGTAAATATTTATTTTTCCTAGCATCTGCTGTTTCTGTCCTCAGGAGACAATGACTTGGTCTTCCTATCATCATGCCCAGAGTATCAGTGAAATTAACTTAGTCCTGGTCTCTGATGACTATTTCTCTTTGATTTTTTTCTTCCATGTGTTGCTATCTGAAACTTATAGACATCTCCCTGTAGCAGAGATGCTGTAGAGTAACAGCTTTAGATGTGGCAAAGTTAGTTTAGTAAGACCAAATTGAAGTATTGTGACTTAAGAGTTCAGGACTGATTGCTGTGAAATTATTGGGGAAAAAGAAAAAGGATGATGCAAGTCACAGCTCTCTGGCTGAGATGAACTTCACTGAACTGAAACCAACACGGCATCAGCTTAGTCTCTACTTCAGAAATTAGGGCTACAGAAAAACACAAAACAAAAAAAAACATACCCTTGAATTCACCAAACTCCTGGAGAACTAGTCTCAACCAAGCCGTTTCACAATTTAGCTATTTTGGTCAGGCACAGAGAAATTAATAATTTGATAAAAAAATTAATAATTACTTCAGATCCCAAAATACAAGTAATGAGAAACAACTACAGTAATAAACAGAGTAGATTGTTTTGGTATTTTCTCCCAACAGAACCTAAAAGTCTTGGGCACAGAGAAAATACACATCTAAAGATTTCTGAGTTAACTGGATCCATCTATGGATGGTATGCAAACCCATCCATGAAGATAGAAAGAAAAACAGCTGGTTTTGACTCCAGTCATACAAGAACTGTTTTGTGCTTTTACTATGGTATTCTTAGATATAGGCTACTTGAGAATTAAGCTGAGATGGAGAAACTCTACAGAAACCTTTGGTTCTTCACTGGTCAGAGCTTTGTGGGATCGAGGCAATGAGAAAAGTTGTTGAAGAAAACTAAGATCAAGGGTGGACTAGAGCTTCCCTTAAAGCCATCTGGGAGACTCCAAAGTCAAGAGGAACAGATTTAATGATGAGGATGGGAGAGTCAGTAATTGTTTAAACATAGTACTGTATACTCAGTCGCATTTGACTAAATGTTATTTTGGACTCATAACATTTCACAAAAGCTGTTGGAAAAAAACATGAAAAACTTGTATTGTAGGAATCATTTAATGACATTTTGGAAAGACAGGCTTACCAAATTATCAGAAGGGTGACATCCAGTAGTTACATTTCTGAAGTCTCCATTATGAAAATGCTCACAAGGAAAAGTTTAACATTCAAAAACAATCCAAGGTCGGGGCAATTACTTCTGACATGAAACCGTTGTTAGTAAAACTGTAAAAGTTCTGTTCTTAAAAACTGTATTGTCACTGTTGTTTAAAACCCTGGGAAGGTCAATGATGCTGATTAAAAAAACTAATCTGATCTGCTAAGTGCTATGTAAAAAAGAAGATATTCAACAATTTCTGTAAGAATTAAATAAAGAGATTCGATTGTTTTCTGAAGTGTTTTGTGGACCAGAACCAGGGCTTTCTGAGGCAGCAGCTGAACCAAGGAGACGCACCGCCTGCTCTGCTCTGTCCATCGGTACAGCGTCTCATCACATCTACAATCACGGCTGATTCTGGCTTTGGGAACAAGAACAGGACTGTGAAGTCAGCTCAGCCAGTCCAGATCATCATCTTCATCATCTTCACCGAACAGAGGCGCCGGCGGCGGACGGCCCTTTAAGCTCTAGACAAAATAAAGAAGAAAACACTCCTGTGAGTCTTAGAGACATTAAAGACAAAAGGTTGAGAAGATATGTCCTTCCTGACCATGTCATCCTCCTCTTCCTCTGCAGAAGCAGGGGGCTTGGCAGGAGGCGTGCTCTGGATAAAGGATTCTTCTCCATTTTCTTGTCCTGATCCTACAGTCAAACTGAGAGAACAGCAGAGAGAGGGTGAGACAGAACACTTCACCTGGATAAAAGGAACTTTGAGAACAATTAGCTCTGTGAGAGTCAGTTAACAAGTTAAGAGGAGGAAAGACAGAACCAGCTGAAGTTAGAGGATTCCCTCAATCAGGGCATGAATATCACTCAATATTTGGGCTTTTAATGATTTGTGTGGAAAATTCTTCTTCCAAATTGGAATGCTTAGAGGAAACAAGAGTTGCAATGAATTTTAGAATCACAAAAATGAATAGACAGACATTTATATCCAGAAATAATCAATTTTCTTTTGTTCCAGCTTTAATTCAAATTGTTTTAAATCTTTCCTCAAATTTTTCCATACATTTACCCTGCTAAGACAATGTGCTTATGGCAGAATTTGTAGTTTTTGGCAAGTTTATTAAAAATAGAAAGCCAAGGCATCCCATTTGTAGAGGTAATTTAGTCATTTCCACTGATCATGTCTCTGTAGCTTAAATGGACTCCACCTCTGGTTAATTTGAATGACTCAGACAAGGCCATATGAAGTCCCACAGTTAACAGTGCAGATCAGAGGTCAAACACCTAGCATAAAGTCAGAGGAACTATCTCTAGATCTCAGAGACAAGATGGTCTTGAGGCACAAATCTCAAGACTCAGAAACATTTCTGCTGCTCTGGACGCAATGATGGAGGCTCAGCGGCCTCCACCATTGGTCAGTTGAAGATGTTTGGAAGCAGCAGGAATCTTGGAGCTGACCGAACTGAATGATTGGGGGGTAGGGCTCTCTTTCTCCGGGAAAGAGAGGAGAACTTTCCAGAAGGAAAACCAGGTGAATTAAAGTACTAAGGTTAATAAGTGATCATAGACAGCTTTTATCAGAGGCCTCAGATGAGGTAAAGATATTTATGACCCTTGACCTATAGGTTACTTCAGGATAAGTAATCTAACTTTGCTGTTTATTCAGGAAGTCACTGGACTGTAAATGAGTACATGTCATGATCTTTTCGGTGTTATGGCTGATGAAGGTTTTCGGAGAAGACCCATACAAACACATTCCCTCTAGTTTAGTAGAAAGGTTTTCTGATTTCACTTTTATTACAGCATTGTAAATCTAGACCTAAAAGAATTATAGCTTTACTATACGTCTCAGCTACATAGTGTCTGTGTGTGTGTGTTTATTATCTCCATCTCTATCTTAGTGAGACCCAGGCATCCTCTCACTAGTCTGTGGTTTTCCATAAATAGCTTAGTCTAGGACTGTGGTAATGTAGGACTTCTGGGCGTAGAGATCAGACAATGCCACCAAAACTCACCTTGTGTCGTTTGCAGAGCTGTTCTGTTTAACAGCTGGAGGTGGAGGTGGGTTAGTTGGGGGTCCGAATGCTTTCGGAGGAGCAGCAGGTGTTTCTCTGACCTGATCTTTGTCTTCCACCTCACTGCTCCCTGCAGCCTCCTCATCTTCCTCAGGTTGAGGGCTCTCACCAGGTCTAGTATCAGCACCCACACACTGGTTCACCTCTGATTCTTTAGTACATGACTCAGAGGCAGCCGGCTGCTCCTGGTGCTGCAGGGCTGCAGGTTCAGCTGGTTCCGGACACTGGGATGCAGGCTCAGCACTGGAAGCGAGTTGGAGGTCAGGAATGTCCAGAGTCTCTGAGTCCTCCGCCTGGCTGGACATCTCAGATGTAAATACTGGCTCTGGTTTCACCTTCTGAACCATCTGGGCCTCGTTGACTTGGTCATGAGCTGCATCGTCCACATGTTCCTCCTCTACAGTCTCTGCCTCTTTCACTTCCTGTTCCCCGTTCACATGGACATGAGATCTGTGCTCCAGTTGCTTTCCATCCTCCCCTTCACCGCCTTTATCGTCCTCTTCCTTGTTATCTAGTTTCAGAGAGGAGCGATCCGCGCCACTGAGCAGCTGCAGCGTTACATTCTGAAAAAAAACATCCATCAGCCATTATGAAGGAAAGGTTTCACTCATACAATAAGTATATTTGGTTATCCCTCGAGTCTTTATGAGTTGACAGATTAGGTCAACATGACAGCATGTTAGGACACTACCGCTTTAGGCAGTCTGAAATATGAGACATCTCTATGGATCGTTTTGTTCTTAAATTTGTTAAGCGGTCATAGCTTGACCCCATTAGGTCTGACGCTGTGATTTGTTCTTCTTCTACTTCTTGTTTAATGGCGGTTGGCAAACAACTTAATAGAGTATTACTGCCACCAACTGGTAAGGATTGTGAACTGGGGGTGGGGATTTTCACGTTATTTATCATTTGTTGTGAAAACCTTTATAACAATTCAAAGTTTTACTTTCAATAATTTTTCATAAATGCTGCAGTATGTAACATTTATAAAAAATATTTTGTTACATATTAGCTGAACCTTTCACTATGATATGATAGTACAAGCATGAAACAGTCAAACAACATTGTCATGACATGGTGACCGTTTTAACAAATATGTAAAAGAAACCTTTATAAAAGTTACATTCTGCAGTTTTAATGTTTAAAAAAATATACATCAAAAACGTTTTTTTTTTACTTTTTTTTCCATTGTTTGTTCCACAAGAGCATCAGTAAATAGTGAATCTGAAAATATGATTCAATGTAGTTTAGTGATATGACACTTCTTTAACTGGCTTCATGAAGAAGCCAGTTTAAAATGGGAATGTTTCATTCCACCATCACTTTACACCAACAGAAAATCTTTGTTGAAGGTTTACCTTAATAGTGGTGACGATGACCCCCAGCACAGCCTGTCCACTGTAGGACTCACTGAGGTCAAACTCTGCTCTGAGGGAGTGAAACACTCCATTCATCACTCGCTTGACCTGCAGCAACACAAACCTCATGCTCAGGTCCAGAACCTGACAATTCAACATACTTCAACTCACAGGCCTTCATCTAAATATATAAAGTATGCTTTATATAGCTGTGTTCCCGTTGACCACACAATTGCACAAACTGGAATTACGGAACTGAGTTTGCTTAATAGGAAACATGCCAATTTCAAGAAAACAAAAATTTTAATTCTATGTTTTTGCGCCAACAAGGGGCGGTTTCTCCAGCTTGTGTGCTTCACAAAACTGCAATTAGAGCATTTTTTTTCTATCCAGAAGCAATGCACTTATTTACAGGAACTTGCTTATTTGTCTCCATAAGAAAGCTCACTACAGAAGTGCTTAACTGACACAACTTGGAAATAAATTTCGGAGGAGCATTTCCCTATAATCAGGCAAGTTTAACATCACTTTCCAACACAAAGTTTCTCTTGCTTAAACAAGAACTTATTTCTAAGTTAAACTCTTCTCTCAGCATTGCACAGTTCAACAAATATTAATGAACTGTCATTCATTTTTGATCCATAGCTCTTCTGTGAAATCAGATGCTATAATTTGCCCAAGACGCAGGATATGCATGTGGCCACATATATATGTTGTCACTCCAACACCTGGATAAGAAGCCTGATCTTCTCTGACGAGATCTAATGTCATGGCTGAAATATAGATATACATCTCATGAGAGTTTTCATCAGTCTGGTTAATAATTTTTAATGATGCATCACATGAACAGACTTATTCACATGTGATTTTCATTGCATTTCATGTGTAATGGAAATGCTACATTTCTATTACACATAAAACGGAAAACAAAAAAGCAAAATTGTGGTTTTTGAACACACAAATTTTTAATGGAATCGGCTGGAGGTGATCTGGAGCAGCAATAGTCAGTGAATCTTCTGAATCCAGTAGGATTTTCATTTGTGGGCGGTCCTCCAGAGAACTGGTTGTGATAACCTTTATGGACATCTCATCAGAAGTCAGAGCAGCTGTAAACCTACAGGACACTCTGGTTTGCCTAGATTGTTTTGTCGTTTAGGACTCCTTACCTCTGCTGCTGTGTCCTTTGAACTCTGCTGTTCTTCCACAGTCCTCTCCAGGTCAGCCACTTGTCTTTCCAGCTGTTCTTTCACAGCGCCTCCATGCCGTTCCAAGGCTGAGAACTTCATGAGAACACACAGAAATGAAAGATAATCAGGAACTGCCAAGTTTCAGAAATTTAACAGCAAAGCCAACCATCTGTTAACAGCATTGCTACATCAAAGATATGAAGTGCACCTTTTCTTGGAGTCGAGTTAGCTGATCCTGAAGCACTTCCCTGCTCTCTGCTAACTCAGACAGCTCCCTGCGGTGCTGCTCTTTAGCTATGGCCACCATCTGCTCACTCTTCTTCCTCCATTCTTCCTCCAGCTCTGCCTGCAGCTGTGACAGCTGTGACATAAATCAGGACATCTTAGTGGAACAATGTAGTGGAAGCATTTTGGTCACCTGAAAGCATTGGTCTCGCCAACAGTTCCTCTCAGGCTCAATATTCGTCTGGATCCCTCCTCCAGGATGTACCTGCTCAGAGGCTGCCGAATCGCTGCAGGTCCTGGCTTTACGCAGCTGAGCTCGCAGGCTGTCCAGCTCCTGCTGGCTGCTCCTCCGGAGCTCCTCCACCTCCTCATCCCGATGCTGACGCTCTGCCTGCCACTTCTTCTTTCGCTCAGCTAGAGCCTGAACATGGAGGAAGCAAAGCACTTACCAGAATGGCCCATCTCCAAAACTCCAGCCTGAAACAAGTTGGTATTAAAGGGCTGGGTGATGAGTCCATGCTTTTGAATCTTTTGGGAAAAATCTGGATTTCTTTTTACCAATGCACAATTTTATTGTGATATAAGAAGTAAAAAGTAATTTTATGATAACTCCAAAATAAATTAGGATGATGAATGTTGAGAATTTTGTGAAGGTATACTTTGGTATAAGTTTTACAGATGATACTTATTCATTAAATTGTTGTAAGTAGCAGAACTTTGAGACGATCATACAAAGAAAGAACTTCATAAACTGAGCCGCTCACATCAATCCTGGAAACTATAAATAAAAGTCACTTTTTGACAATATGTTCAGTCACTTCTAAAAAAATGTTTCAAGAAAAGAAAGTAAGGGGAAAAACCAATAAAATCACATCTGGTATGAAAAATAATCTGAAATATTATTTTGAAGACATATTGCCTAGCCAAAGTACTAACTTCTACTTGGGAAGATATTGACTATACATTAGGACAATTACTGGAAGCTTATGGCATTAATTGAAGGATTGTTATTCATGTCTGCGTTCACTGAGATAAACATGAGCTGCACATACTCTTCCTAAGTTCTCTTTATCAGACTTCAGGTCCTGTAGCTCCTCTTCTACAGCACTGACTCTCAGCTCCATCTCTTTGCGTCGTTGCTTCTCTGCGCGGTACTGGCTCTGAACCCGCTCTGCCGCCTCCTTCAGTTCTGAAAGTCCACAACACAAAGAGAATCCATTGGATCTGGAACATGTAGTTGTGTATGATCTGTAGTCATCAGCAGAACACACTCAGAAGTCCTGAATAAAAGCAGAACTCCCCAGTCAGCTGTGTGTGACTTTTACTCAAACTACACATGACATTTCCCATGCTCATGAACTCATTTCATACTTTCTTCCAGATTCTGATTTAATCCTATCAGCATGGTAACCCTCCTCCAACTGTGAAATTATTCAAGTCTGGCAAGAAAAGTAAAAGAATGTAAAAAAAAAAAAACACACAATTGTGTCCTTTTAAATTCTGCGGATTGGAATTTGTGGTGCTGTCCGGCCACTCTGCCTGGTTTCTGTTGCTCCTTTTGCCCTGATCTCATGATGCAGCTTTTTTTAAGCTTAATTAAATTTCAATGGAATTTTTGAGACTGTTTGGAATAAGCTCTATTGGGAAAAATGTGAATATGCAGAAATGATGAACAGAATTTAAGCAGCCATTTTCTGGTTGTGCCCTCCAAGCCCTGTCTCATGAGGCGTTTCTTTCAGATAAACATTGGCAGTATAGTTAATGTTTAGTTCAGGTATTATGTTCTGAAACACAACACCTGTTTTAAAAGTGCATTTAATTTCATCTTTCCTCTGAATAAATTGTGCAAAACAGTGAAATTCTCTTGCAGGTATTTTTCTTAGCTTTGTGTACCATCTGAGACTGTATCTGACTGCTCCCTCCACTAGAACTAGCAACACTGAGTGCAACTAATCAACAGTAAAGCCTTAACAGATGCAATGAAAACTAAAAGTGAGGCTTGAAATGCCATTCTTTCCAGTTTTCCATGCCTTCCAGCTGGGCTTCCAGGGCAGCGATGCGCTGGCAGCGGCTCTCTCTGTCCTCCAGTGCTGAGCTGAGTTCACCCTGCAGCTTTGAAGCCTTCTGCTGGTGAGCCGTAGCTTCCAGCTGCAGCTGGGAAACCCGAGCTGTGGAGGAAGCCAGCTCCTCTGTCAGTCGGACCTAGTTCAGATGGAGAAAGTGGAGGAGGAAGGTGAGCTGTCTGAATGAAGGAAAACTTCCAGAGACAACAGACTGGTGTGAAACCTGGGTGAGTGGCAACTGGCGATCATTCCTGCGAGAGGAAAATAGCCAATGGCTGAACTGATGGAAAATGAGAAACCAGAAGAAAAACTTGTTAAAATGAGTATGATATGAGGAGGATGATCCAGTGACAGCAAAAAGACTGGGGTCAAATAGTCTGAACCACCAATTAGATTGTTCTTTACAGCTGGAGTCAAGATAAATAACTCACCAAAGCAAATGATGGTGTCTCTAAATCTCTGAAATGATTTTAGAGAACATGCATTATGCATTTTCCAGGCACATACCACAAATAACAATGTTACTTTCAGTTGCTATAAAAATGCTATGTACATTAATATGACTTACTTTATTCACCCAGATGTTTTGTATAGCTGTATGGTTACCATGGAGATTAAATCATTTCTCAAACATGCATAAAAGAATGAAGGAAACACTCCTTCTATTCTTTAATGAGGGAATAACATAAAATGAAGTAAAGCTGAAAAAGGTAATTTTTCATAATACTGCACCTTTAGTAGAAACTTATTATATTCAGAGTTAAACTGTCACATTTGGTTGTTCTTTTGGTTTATTTTCTAAGTGCTAGATGACCCCAGTCTGGTGGCAGAACACCGAGAAGCGGCCTCACCTGGCTGGAGCCACAGTCCAGTGGCCAAGCACGCTGCTGGGAAGAGAGAGCAGTGAATGCTAAACAGTAGCATCAGCATGGCTAGCACTTTACTAAAGTGCACTTTGATTAAAACTTCAGATTTTATCACATTATACCAACAAACTTCTATGAATTTTAATATTTTTTGTGACAGATCAACAAAGTCGTGCCAATTGTCAAGTAGAAGGAAAAGACATGGTTTTCCCATTTGTCTTGTGAGTTCTGCATGCATCAGTTTTCAACTAATGCAACAGATGACAGATAATCATATGTATGAAGCATTTCCCTGTTAGAAGTCTTTCCACAACGAGAAAGGAAAATTTCACCCACGGTTCATTGCTCTCGAACAGAGACTGACTGGACAGAGTGTGTCAGTGAGTATTAAACTGCAAGTCTTTCAATATGATTTCAATCGTATCAGTCTGGACTTTGACTGGACCATTATCAATGTGTTTCCGTCTAAACCATTTCATTGTAGTTCTGCTTGGATATTTTGCAGGTAGGCACAGTCACAAGTTCCTGCCACAGTCACAGGTTGCTTTAGCAGCTTTTCTTGGCCCACATTCTTAATGGTGGAGTTAGCATGTCATGGCAGTGGTCCTCAAAGTGGACTCCCTTACTCTTGACTGGGTAAGGGGGTTGCAAGGACCTTCTAATACATTTAAATAAAGGGGATTTATAAAATTACACTTTTCAGACTTCACAGTTCTGTGCTACTTTGGTTGATAAATCACATAAAACCCCAATAAAAAACACAGACGTTTGTGGCTGTAACATGACAAATGTGAAAAGGTTAAAATATTATGAATATTTTTGTAAGGCACTGTAAATACTGTAGATGTAAAAAATACTGAAGGATGTCAGCACAGTTCCCTCTGAGAGTGGCAGACTAAGTATGCACAGGATTTGAATATTTTTTGAATAGTGTTAAAACCACTGTTCTGAAATGTCAGCTTCTTTTGAGCGAAGCCAGTCTTTCAGCTTTTTATCAGAAAAACTTCAACAATTCCATAAACCCAGTTTATTTAAAGCTAGTCCTATCCTTGGCAATAGATAAACAAACAACAGCCCTCTGTTCAAATTTTCATCAAGTCTTTGGAGCTGTGTAAGATTCCGTTCAGCTCCAAACACTCCACCATCGTCCTGCTCCCCAACAGATGCTTCATTATGGGCTTAGAAGACTACAGACCTGTTGCCATGACGTCTGTGGTTATGAAATCCTCTGAGCAACTGGTGTTCTGCATTTGAATTAGAAATGGGTTTACAGACGATGCAGTCAACTCCCGGGGACATACTCCAAGATGGTGTTTGTGGAATTCAGTTTGGCCTTCACTCCTATCAAACCCATTAACACAGAATCATCAGCAATGGCGCACCCCGGTGGTGTATCCTTGCCCTCTCCCTTTTCTCACCTCAGCAGACTCAGCAGACTCTGCTGTGAAATCCTGTTTCAGAGAACACCATTGGAGGACAACAACAAGTGTAACTGCTAACATGATGTGGATCTGAGGATCTGCTGGTGTGGTCAGAATCTTGACTATCCTTAAATCATTTTTTGGCAGCATTTTGGAGTTGATGAATGGCAACAAAGTGATAAAGACACGAACAACATGCAAGAACTACAAATTCTTCTGGTGCTGAAAGCATCGCACTAACAACCAATGGGTAGACATATGTTGGGCTACATCACAATAACACGAGTACACCATATCAGCAGCAACAAGGAAATGGTAAATGTACGGCCTACCGTACATTTACCATTTCCTTGGTAAATGTACTAATTTTGCATTTTTCAATGCAAAATGAGAAACATCACTTTGTGATAAATGTAAAACAAAAATAGAAAAAACTAATTTCAGGATAAACTTGATTTTAAAATGTTCTTCAAAGTAATATTACAATCTTGTCTGTGTGAACTTTATTCACACGAACAAGATTATACATATTATGACATGTCCCTTTTCATACACAGAACATGTACAGTTTGAGCTGCAGCAGAGAAAGTTTGTTCCTCAGGCTGTCTGAAAACACCAACAACTCCCACAGATATTAGGCATATTTGCACCAATAATACAGGAGGAGCACTGACTCTCACCTTGTCCTGCTCAGCCTGCAGTAGCCGGGCCTGGTTATGTTCACTGGAGGACTTGAGGGAGTCGTTCCTCTGCTCCAGCAGCTGGTGGCTCTGCTCCATGTATCTGGCAAACCAAACATCAGGTTTGATCACACAAACCATAATCTTTCCCTGGAAATTCTTTGAGCAACATAACACCCCTTCTCCGCCAAACTTGACTCTATTTCACCCTCTGAGACTCACTTCTGGTTCTGGTTGATGAGATCTCCGATCTTACGGTTCTGCTCCTCAATACGAGAGCTCTTCTCAAACATTTCCTTTTTCAAAGATTCATTTTCCTAAAACCAAAATGTGAGCTATCGGAGCAAGTCAAGATAATATGAAGCATAGTCAAATAAAAACAAAAGACCTCTGCATGTGTGTACCTGAACAATTCGGTTAATATTGTGCACAATCATAGAGGTTTCCATCGTCATACCAGAAACACCAACAGACTGAGTTCCCTGCTTTTCCAGATTACTAATCTGTTAGAGTGAGAAAAGAAAAAGCCAAATATTAACTTGATAAAAAATAAAAATAAAACAGATGTTTACTATAATTATAACCAGTTCACACCTTGGAGGCCAGTTGATCCACCTTATCTGCTACTTTTCCTATGGATAACCTGATCTCGGTGTTGTGCTGCCGAGCCTCCGTCATCAAGAAGTTAGTCAACTCCCCAGAACCTGGAAATCAAACTAATCAGTTGCATCAAAGTGGTTTTGTCTGACTTGCTGAAATTATATCAATAAACCTCAGAAATCTATTTTCTTCAAGAAACACAAACCTGCTCCTGAAATGTTAAGATCCTTTAAAGCCAGAGAGTTAGCTACAAGCAGCACTTTGTTCCAGTCTGAATCAGTCCATATAAACATGGTGAGCTCTCTTACCCATGTATGGGACAGTCTGAGGCGCATAGACCTGGCCGATGGCCTGCATCTGAGATGGAGCTGCAGAGGTCTGTGAGTGGGAGGTTTTCAAACATTATTATCGGACTTGTTTCTGTTTAATTATAGAATTTTGTCAACAGATGTAAGCAAGCATCACCTGGAAAGAATGGCTGCTAGCTGGCAGCCCAGGATAAGGGCCGACTGAAGGAATGACGGGAAGTAAGGCAGAAGACGAAGCTGTGTGAGGAAGAGGATGGGCTGCAGGAGAAATGCTACTGTTAGATGATTCTGATGAGCAGGGAGATGAAACTGGGCCACCTGGAAAGAAAAGACGAAGGAAGCTCACCGTGTGCAGAACCTGGAGCGGCAGAACCTGGAGCGGCAGAAGCTGGAGCGGCAGCCGCGATGGGCCCCTGAGGCAGAGCTGCAGGATCATCCTTCACTCTGATGCTGGTATCCTGAAGATGAAGATACAAAGAAAAACACAGCTGAGACTGAAACTGATTTATTGTTCTGAATTGATTAATCGCCAGCTACTTCAATAAACCACTAATCATTGAGTGCTGAAGTCCCTTTTTAAAATTACCTTTTAAAAAGGAACATTTGTTGAAAGAAAAACACACTCAGAGCAAATAAATGAATTTCTTCCCCAAAAAATACACATTTTGTACATAAGGTAATAAAAAAAAACTTTCTATAAATAAGTTCTACTCAGAACTCTTCAAGAGGCATAGTGTTAATTTAATTATAAATTATTAATTAGTGAATCCAAAAATAGTCAACAGATTAGCTCTCTACCTATCTGATGTTAGGTCAACCAATAAGGGCTTTTTATACTGATGTTAGAAATGTTTTTAGCTGCAGATGCAGCCTATGCTACACATTACTAATCATTTACTGAAGGAATGCTGTTACTGTATTTCAGGCAATAAAATGCTTATTTTATTAATTAAAAGAAGAATTGAAGTGTTTATTTACATTTTTAATACATATGAAAAAGGCTTAAGTGATGTGCAAAAGAAAAATTTGCAGAATGTGCCAATTTTTTGATCCAATTAATTAAATATTTTGATGATGAACCAATAGAATAATTGATTAATAAAATAGTTGTTGATTGCTGCCCTAAGCATCACAGAACATTACAATGGATTTGATGATCCAGTGAGATCAGAGCTGGGGTGTTGTCATAGCTCAGCTGAGGTGATGGTGGGTTCCCCTCATGTCTGTCTGAGCCCTGTGTCATCTAAAAGCATGTCATGGTGTAAACAGAAACAGAGCTGCTGCTCACCATCCTCAGGGTGTTACTTGCATCACATAGCAGAATGTGATGCAGGTAATGCAGTTCTCACATTAGAATGTGGAGGATCAGAAAGCTGTGCTGCTCTCTAGGAACACAGAGAGCAGCTACTCTCCCAACTTTAGATGATGCTGCTACTCTCCCAACTTTACATCACTTGATTCCATCCCACTGGGTAAAGTGTCTGAAGTGCATGTTCCCTACAGACAACGTTTAACTGCTTCTCCTGATACACCAAATCTCTATGACCACAGCGCTTTAGTTGTAACAATAAACTCTGACAGCTTTGTCAGAGGCTCAGTTCCTGCAGGTAAAGGGCGTTTGTTTCAGTACAAATTGTGACTGGTGATTGGTCAGCTGCTGATAAACCCACTGGATTGATTGCAAGGTGGCGTCATGCTAGCCTATTGTCCCTTAAAGGTTGCTATGGTGATGGGTGTAACCACCACCAGGATGGCCGTAAGTACCAACCTCCAGCTCAGAGTCACTAGATTCAGGCTGGCCTGCAGCTCCGGTCAGAAAGGGCAGCATGGGCTGCCCCATCTTCGCCATGCGGGAAATCAGCTTGGCTTTAGTGGCATCTGGGTTCTGCTGTTCAAACAGAACAATTTTTATCCATCAAACCTCCACAGTAATTAAAGATTCTAAAAGTTGAATGCAGTGAGATTTTTACCCCCAGCTGCTCGGTCATAGAGTTCGACTTGGATCTCAGTGGCGGCTCCCTTGGGAGAAAACAAACCAAGGATAAAATCAGTTACAACAAAGTAATATAAAAGTTGATGTTGACGCCTCGTTCTCTGCAGCCAAGTCTCACCCTGGTTTCCCCGAAGCTGATGAAGGTTCTGAGATCAGACTTTCTACACTGAGGGCTGCAGACGGTGCTGGGGAGGGAGCAGCAGATTCTCTGGAGCTGGTGCTGGCCTGATCAGAACCACTATCTTTGGAAAACTTCACCTGCAAGACGAGCTTGATAAGCTTCTTCACAGTTCAACATGAGGGACCAACCAGAGAGGCTGTGGAGGTACTGAAACAAGTGAGGCATAACGCAATACCCGCCGCAGCTCCACTTCAAAGATTAGCGTGCTGTTAGCTGGAACTCGATTGGGAACACCCTTGGCTCCATAAGCCAGGTTGGGTGGGATGATGATGAGACGACGGCCAGCTTTCTTCATCCCCAGCATTCCTTCCTCCCATCCCTGTCCACACATTCACCACAGGAAGAGAACAAATCAGCTGGAAAAACATGACATGTTGATGAACACTTAGGTTGGTTGGGGCCGATCTCCAGTGACCAACCTACATGCACTGTGGAATCCTTCATGACTTCATTTTATATAGATTTTAATGATTTCTCTCTTCAGTTTTTAGGATTCTGGATTTGTAACCTTAAATTCAGCATTAGGACTATTCACCATCAAAGCCACCTGAACTACATAAATGGCGTCTTCCAGTTATTAAAAGTGGCCTCACTGGAATCAGAACCCTGTAAATGGTGATGTTAAAAGTCAGATGACAGAACTGCTGCTTTATGTCTTCTTTAAGCAGCTCCTGCCTTCATTAGTTGGTCAGGAGCTGCAGCTCCCTTTGCTACAAGGGAGTTGTCTTTAGTGTGGGAGTTTTACTGAGTGGGGAAGGCTTAATGTTAGCCATTTGATATACTTGCGAGGTATTAAAAGTCAGAGAAAGGCCAACAGGCAACCAAGTAGGAATGGAATAGAATTATGTATCAATCTGTCTGTAACAACAGTATTTGTGTTTGTGGTGCTATGATTCATACAGTTGATCAAAAATATAGTTCTTAAATTCACTTGTTATCACAATATACATTATCGTCCTAAAACTTTAATCCATATCACGCACACGTAATTCCTCACATTGCATGGTTTAATACAACTATTATTACTATTTCACTTGACTTTGTGTCGACTCACCTTGATGACTTTCCCAGCTCCAATTTTTAGTCGCAGCAGCTTGTCTTTGTTCTGGTTGGAATCAAACATCTGAAAGAAGACACCGATGCCGGTCAGTTCCATCAAGCCACTGCACCAGTGCGTGCTGAAAAGGTTTTAGAGTGCCACCTGTCCGATGGCGTGGTTCTGCAGCAGCCAGCCCGTGTATACCACCTCCATGGAGTCTCCAGTCTCCACTGCTTGACCCTCACCGACAATCACATCCTGAGTCACCACAGATTCTAGAGAGGATGAACTGTTTGCTTTGGCCAGACACACCTAGGAATCAAAAACAAACACTGAATCATTTTATACAGTGAAGACTGTAAAGTGTGAAAAAAACGACCTTGAGCTGCCAGTATAAACAGCTAGCTTACTTGTTGTGTTGATCAAAGCAGTGGCGGACTGTACTGTTTATGATTTGTAATATTTTACACATAAACCATCATGTCCTATAATCCATAGTGAAAATAGCTTTAGAACAGATATGCTCACGTCCTTCTACAGCAAAGCTTGTACACAATGGCAGCTTTCTGCTAGTGGCCGAAAAACAACACGAGGCTACAGAAAAACCATTTATGCATGGCCAGGTGGCTAGGTTAACTAGCCTGAGCATTCACAGCAGACTCTGATGTGAAGAAAGGAGCCATAATGGAGTAGAAAGCAAGGGGCAGGGTGTCAGCATGAGATTGATTGACAGAGCCAAGACCCTCCTCCTGGCTCTGATTGGTTGTTTCAACAGAGCTGAGTATTTCTACAGATTTCTGTAAGGCCACAAGGAGGAGGTAGAGGAGTTGGATTTTATTCACAGATTATTTGTCGCATATTAAACTGTCAGGACATGGTGACAGTTTTAACAAACATGTAAAACAAAAACAAAAAACAAAAAAATAAAAGAAACATTTTCATAAAATGTACTTCCTGCAGGTTTAAGCTCAGTGAGAACCTTGAGTAAAGGTCTGAGAGGCTGTGGGCTTGTCTCTCTTGGAAAAACCAGGAGACTTGAAATGACAGTTTAGTACAGTAATCTTCCCTGGTGCTCAAGACACACTGCCCTGCATGTTTCATAAGTTTCCCTGCTGTAACACACTTGATCCAGATAATTCCAGTTCGGCAAAGCCTGTTATCAGTCACCAATTGAAATCAGGTGAACTGACCTAGGAAAACGTCTAAAACATGGGAGGTGGTGTGTCTGAAGGATCGGTGTTGGGAAACACTGCTCTACAGGAACTGAGGATGGGCGCGCACTCTGTGTTGCTCACCTCTTTGCAGAAGGCTGATGCATTTTTCTCTGAATCGAACATCAGTGACCAGTTCTGCCTCTGGTCATCATAAAAAGTGCAGTAGTTGTTTAGCTGTACCTACAAAACAAGAACAATATTTGAAACCAAGTTTACGTCTTTCTGAAAGAAAACCACAGAAGTTTGTAACCGATTCTATGCTTGTTCGTCTTTCATGATGCTACCAACCGTAAAAATAAAGCCCATGTGAATCCTGGCAGCAGTCACTTGTTTCTGTTGGCTCAAATATAGCAGAAGCTTGTACTAAAAAAAAAAAAATCATTAAAACAAGAAGTCCCATCAATAATCTCAAAGGAGTGACGAGATCAAGGCCAACCTCTTTTGTAGCGTGGTTGGCCAGCACGGCTGCCCCCAGCTTGCCCTGTTTCATGTATTGTCCATTAATACTGGATGAGACAGAAGCAGCAGAAAAGAACTTAGAGAGAGGATTTGGTGAGCTGCCACTTTAATTTGAGAATGAAACATTTCTACTATTTCAAAGCAGACTTAAGAAAGAATGAGCTACATAGAGATGATTAAACTGACTATTTAAAGGCCTGAACTGCCGAGGCCAGTAGGACTGCAGGACCTGCAGGCTGCTTCTGGTTCTCTGCTGCAAGGATGAAAAGGACCGCGTCAGTGCAACTTCCACATCACAATGAGGTATTTCTTCCTCTGGTCTTACCCTGAGTAGTGGTCTTCCTGGGCTGTTTAGGGGCTGTGTACTGGAAGGATTCATTTCCTTGACTGGATTCCTGGTCTAGTCCAAAAAGGGAAGCCAGCTTAGCTCTATGAAAACAAAAATGTGAGAAATTTCTAACTATGCATACTTTTATTAAGAAATGCATAAACTGCTGTGGGCTGTTCTTTCTATTCTTCACTGTAATGGTCAGAGGATGAAAACCCAACCTCTGACACACTGAAACACTGGAAAGTCGAATGTCTAAAACAGATTAAAAAGTACAAATATCTTTGTTGTTGAACTGCTATTTATTCAATAATTTACCAGCAAAATGGGTTTTTGAATTGAAAATCTTGCTTATTTTGCTAATATACAGTTTGATGAAATTGCAATTAATTGAACATACACAGACCCTCACAATGAATTTGATTTCAAAAAATGTATTGAGTCCCACCACTAAAACTATATTTCATCTGTGCTCTTCTGCCCGATTACCCAGCAAATCGTGAACGCCTCATACTAACCCCTGGAACTCCTTCCAATGGTAGTCATTGGTGTCTCCCAGAACAGACATGTTGAATGTCCTGAGGGCCTCATCCCCAGTAGTAAAGAAGACAAGGGGTGAGGAGGGACAACCCGTTTGCATGTGTGAGCCAGAATCTTCGGGCTGTTCTGTTCCAGTGCTTTGGTCCAGGGCTGCCACCGCAGTGGGAGATTCAACAGCATCGCAGGAAAGGAGTGGACCGTTGCAGCTTTACAGCCAAGTCTAAACTGAGCAGACTTGGGCTACAGCACAGGCTTTCTCCTTTATTCTACTAACAAGTCGCATGTGAAAGGAATTAGTTTGGGAAAAAACACTCCCCCTTCTTCAGAGCTGGAAATCCACTGGCTGACAGTGGTCATGCTCAAAGCACTATGCATGTCTGAGAATGTTGCAAAGTTGTAACAGAGTGTCTCATGGCTGAAAGGGGAGGTGTATTTATAGCAAGTTGGCCTGTCTCATAACAAAAGGATTGTAGCACTTATTATCTGTGACCTGAGGGCCACAGTAAAGCTGAAAGGCCCTCAGTCATGATCACTATATAGCAGATAACAGTCACTGAGGCCATGTGATCACTCATCTACCACAGAGGATCCTCACTTTAGCATCCAATTCCATTCACTTTCTCACTTTGCACTTGAGTAAAGGGCTGTTTCACAGAAGCCTGGGCCACCTCTGATCAGCTCCAGTGGTGAATCTACTTAACTTAAAATAGTTTAATCTGAACTGGAATAACTATAGAAACTTTAAAACTGGTTGTGATCAAGGAAACCTTTGATCCATTTGCAAAAACAAAGACACAAAAGGCATATTTTAATGTTTTTATGGGGTAGTAGTTAAACGACTCAAACCTGCACTGATTTCATATTCTATAAACCCAGTTTTTCATAAACCTCTACATTACGCATGTAAGGCAATTTTGGCGTTCAAGATTCCTAAATTAATCTAAAACTATACTACACTGCACAGAAATTTATGAAAATATTTCATCACTTTCTCAGGCAAAAAAGTTCAATGTTTTTTGTTTTTTTAAATCATTTTCACAAATTTAAATAAAGTCCATCTTAATGATTACTTGAAATCTTTTAGCTGTCTCGGTGTGAGGCAGTTAAGGTGTCACAAAAAAAGCAGACCTTTAAAGATTAATAAACCTGTCTAAGACCTGCGGTTTAAAATTAGCTTGAAAAACAGTAAGTCACCAAGTGATGCTAAGCTAACTAGCTCCCAGGCTACAGAGAGACAGCAGGATTCATGGAACAAACTCACCCTCCTGTGGGGGACAGAAAGTCTTCGTCTTCATCTTCCCCGCCAAACATATTTTAACTTTGAACTTTTCTCTTATTAAGAAAAACAAACGACTTCGCTATATTACCATGACTGGTTGGTCACTTCCCCTTCCTGTTTGGGGTGAAGTCAGCTGACTTTCCACCTGACCCCTCTTCAAATACCGCCTAACAGGGGCTCTCGCAAGAGGGCGCCATAGACCTTCAAGCTCCCGAGGCTGTGCTTTTCAGAACGATTTAGTCAACAAAGAAAAGACTAAATAAGGTCCCTTTGTGTGAATCTACATACTTTGATGCTGCTGTTGCACCAGAATTTTCCCTCTGTGGGACAGTAAAGGATATGTCTTTAATATTGACTCAGACCTTGGGCATGGTAAATACAATGAATTAACCTTAGTAAATAATCTGGTTCAATACACCAGTGTCAAGCTAAAAATAACAGAATTGTCAAATCATTATAAAGTCTCCTAAACAGTACAGAAATTCTGTCTATGATTTAAACTTCATTCAAGCAAAACAAATTGAGCATGTAGTAATAATAAATTAAATAATTTATGATGATTTATTTTCTGTCCACTGATTAATTGCTGACTCATCATTTGTGTGTAGCGTTTTTAACTAGAAGCTGATAAACTGATGAACATTTGAAATGAAAGTCAGCAAAACAATATCTCAGCCGTCCCCAGTGGCCAACATCCATAAATATATTTCATTAGCTTTATTCTCTGTCAATATTTACACAATCATTTTACAGAATTATTATTTTACTTTTATAACATTTAAGCCACAAATATCAAAAATATACAAAATAAAACTGCATCTGTCTGTTCCTTTCTCACAGCTTAAGCCAGTCCATTGCTTTGGCTGATTGTTACTCAGAGGTACGTGATTTACGGTTCCGCTTTGCTCGACCAGTGGGCTGAAATCGGATGAACTCAAATTTGCTTTGGTCCGTGTTGGGGAAGTGAGGCGGGCCCATGTGGAGCCTCTTGATGAAATGGACCTCTCTCTGGTTCTCCCTTGTCCTGCAGGCTTTGATGGGTCTTCCCTTTCTGGTAAAAGCCACGTACCAGCCTTCGTACTTTGCATTCTGCAAGGCCGTGTAATTGTTCTCCAGGACAATCTCAGTGAAGATACAATCTCTGCTGCGGCCGTTGGGCTGTGTGTGAGAGAGAAGAGAATATTTTTGTGACTGTTGTGTTAGAATGATCTCTTATAAACATATTCCAGTAAATAAACATCAAAGGACACTTTAGGAATTTCCCAGAGCTACAAGCAGCTTTGGCACCAATGCAAAACAGAAATCGATGATGAGATGATCTTTGTGTCTTATGTGATAGAACAATAAAAAGTAGAACAAAATTGTAATAGAAAAATAACACGGTTCATGGTTTCATTTATGGTGGCAAACGACTCTAATCAAAATCTAAAAATTATGGCTTTCACTGCAAATACAGCTGCAGGTCATCTGGTGTGAATCTACCAACTTTTCACATCGAGAAAACAGACTTCTTTGTTTGTCGTTTTTCTTTTGCTAACAGGTATTTCTGGGCTTTGACTGAGCCAGTCCAACATGGCATGTTTTCGTCATCCCATCATGTCTGTAGCTAAATGATTAGCTCTGTTGTGGTGCTGGAAGGTGAACCTCTCTCCCAGTCTAAAGACTCTTGCCGTGTTTAAAATGTTTTCCAGAATTTCCATGCCTTTAGTTCTATCTATCATACCATCAACTCTGACCAACTTGTCTGGTCTTGATAAAGATAAGCACCACACAGCATCACACCACCACCATGTGTTACATTGAAGATGATGTGTCCAAGGCCCGTGACAAACTGGTGACCTGTCCAGGGTGACCCTGCCTCTTCCCTGGAACATTAGCGGGAGATAGGCACCAACACCTCATGATCCCACTGGGGACAAAGTGTTAGAAAATGGATGGATGGACAGATGGATGGACGGACGGAATGTTTGTTGTGTCAGCTACCAAGTTTGTGGCGAACTGCACATAGCGATTCGAGCTTTCTTTCTATGACGGTCAAGTCACAGTCAAGTCAAAGTGTATTTATATAGCTCATTTACAACAACCTCAGCTGAACAAAGTGCTCAGGTAGAGAAAGGATAAAACAGAAAATAAAATTATGTTTGGTAAGAATAGAAGGACAGATATAAATTTGGCAGAAAATACCAAAATCTAAAGGTACTTTTCTTGTTATAATACCATATCAACTAGACTTAAAAAATAGATTAGTTATGCAATAGATAGCATAACTAATAGATGTTCTGTCCACAGGCATTAAAGTACATTTCAGCACAATAAGTTGGGATTGTTGCTGTAACATCAGATTCATCTTAACTGTGTTCTGGCTGCATGTTAGAAAACCAGTGAGGTTTAAAATGGATGTACTCATAGTCCATATTGACTAATGGACTATAAGTACAACCACAGTTCACAAGTCAAATACGATTATGGTTATTATTGTTGATATTGAAAATAATATGTCAATAATAACCATACTCAATGAAGAACTGTCCTCATAACTCACAATTATGACACTGAAAGTGTTAGAGGTTTCCAACTAAACCTCTAACACCTAAACCTTCACATATAACCACTAGTGATAACTGTCTCATAGAAGTGTTTTTATTTTTTATTTTATTAGTACTATATTTCAGGTGGAACCTGAAATATAATAATATTTCAGGTTCAGATGAATTGTTCAGATGAATTGTTGTTTGCTTAGTGTGATAAATATAAAAACATAAAGAAACAATGACTAATTTAATATTGGAAGACAATAAATGGAAGCATTGTTCTACATTATTTGATGTTTCCATCAAAATCAGCTTTAGTAAAATAATTTATAAAAAGCCAGAGACCAGAAACTTATTCTGTACCTTTCCAACAAGTTTTCCCTTCCGGTTCATGCAGAGGTATAGCCCACTCTCTGCACCTCGTATCCTCACTCGACTGCCAAAGGTGTCAGTCTCCACAAACAGGCGAGCTGCAAGGAAAGACGGACAGAGCTGAAGAAATAACATAAAAGTTTTATTATTCTCTGCGTGATTAATGTACAAAGTCCCTGTCAAATGAGCTATTTATTTGCCCTATGATATTGTTTTTTTCTATAGTATTGTGTCTTCTTGCATTATTAAAAAAATGCATGTTGACTGAGGTTTTAAGTTCAGATATAAAAAGCTAAAAATAAAAAGCTTCAAGGAGTACTGAAATATATTGTTACATGTTCCAACTGTTCATCCAGTTTTTCCTCTTTTATCTAGGATAACTATGTTGGCAGTGTCTAGTGCTAGATGAGTTACTGAATGGAAAGCTACTTCCATGTCTTTCCCTGTCATGATTCTGACCATCCCAGTCAAAGACAATGAGAAGACAAACAGAAAAAAGTCATCCCACCAGTTGATTAAACAAATGTTATCTCTGCCCATTAACCTGGAAGCAGAATATACACTCTCAATTGACTTTATCCTGCTGTTAATTATGCCTTTTGAGCATAACAACAGACGTGTGTATTGGGACAAGGGAAACAAAGGAGTTTTCCTTATCAGCTGTTAATTTACCAGACTATGGCCTTATGGATACAGCAGGGAAGCTACATTAACATACAGTCCTGAAAAGCTTCCTCTAACGAGAGGGACAGGCAAGACTGGGCGTGAAACTGCTAGTTTGGTCAGAGGACATTAGTCCAGTACAGTCTCTTACCACTTCAGTCTTCAGACATTCCCTGATATTATTATGGTTCAGTGTCAGCTATAAAACTTGAAAGCTGAGTTGCTGTCACTGTGCTGTCTCAGATGTTTTATCCTCATCCTAAACTAAATAGCAGGTGAGAGTTCTGCATACATCAGTGTTTAGATGATGTAGCTATGTTAAACACTGATGTATTTAGCATAGAACAGCCCATTGCTTTTATCTGTTTCCAAGTGCTGTTTGTTGTCCTTTCTTATTTTTACAGCATAATTACACCAGTATATTTATTATTATTTTATTTCCTTTCTAAAGACCAACCCTTGATGATTTGGTTCCCCTCAGTTGGTTCCCTTAGATGATGTTGGATGTTTTAAATATTCATACTGACCGTGAATCAAACTGGGATCTTTGACATATTCTGGTCGCTGTTTCCTCTGATTTGGGTCATTCACATGATTTCACACGATTTCACATGATTTCATACAAATGTCATCAGTATTTAAAATAATAATAATAACAGTTTAATCTTTACAAAAAGAGAACATTCCTAACTCGATGGCAAAAAAAAAAGAAAAAAAGAAAAATGGAAAAAGAAAATGTAGAACTCAGTCTGACGATCCGGGCCTGCAGCCTGCGGTGTGTTAGGAGTGTGAGGACGTCAGCAGGTCCCGGCTCACTTCTTACCGTACAGGTTCCCATCTTCAGCAGTGGCGCTGACTCTCTTCCCCTGGATCTGGACGTGTTTCCCGCTGGTTCGGCTGTAGAGCTGGTAAACCCGGACCTGCCTGCGGCTGAGCTGGTCCGTCGTTGCGCCCTGCGTCCTCACATACTGGTTAAAATTAGGAGACGAGTGATTCTCCCCCTTTTTTATGCAAAGGGAAAAATAAAATCCATAATTGTGTCTGTCTCTAATCTGGGATGTATCAGTGCATCGTTCATTTCAAGAACCAATTTATGGCCGTTGGCTTTTTTAATTAAACATCTAACTACTGAAATCTGTCCAGCTGTTATTACTCTGACGACTTTGTATTCATTTTTCAAACGTTTGAAGCTTTCTCACCTGAGCGTGACACCACAGAACAAAAAAATTAAATGATCTGCAAAAAAGGTATAAAATATAAGTAAGAGACAAAGCGACCCTGCGGCATCAAATTACATTTAGAAAGCCAAGAGTCTTACATGTAGAAATAGCGCTGGTTTATTCCATACATCCTCAATTCTTATTTCATCCGATTAATCGAGAGATTCCTGAGGCCGATAAAAGCCACAAGGATGAAGCAAATAAATCCAATGGCTTCCCAAAAGTGGCATGTGCACTTTTGATGTCCATCCACACCGACAAAGTATTCCCAAGGCAAGAAAACAGCATGGACTACCCAAAAACTTGACCCAGCACAAGTCCATCGATAGATCCAAACAGCGCATCAAAATGAGTCAATTCCATGATGTGAAGCCGGATGGAGCGGTGTCTGCATCTGGAGAGGGATGTTCAGCTGCAAACAGTGGTGCGTCTGCCTGGACCGGGTCCAGCTTCTGCCTCCCCGGGATCCGGCTCCCCACTGGTGGAATGGTGCAGAAGTCCCTCCCTGAAATCTCTCTGCTAAAGGTGGGCACACCACTAGGACCCCAATGATCATTTATTGCAACTGCAAACACGTCCACAAAACAAATCAAAGTGACACAAGTTGTCAGCGTTTCAACCATAGGGTCAATGTTATCTATCTATCTAGTCCAGTCCACCCCCCTCTATCTGATCTGAGCTCATGACTGATGAATTATATGTAAAAGTGGAGAAGCTAATGGGTGTGGCAGCTAGGTGCAAGCCCAAAACAAATTCTCTCTTATCTCTCAACTCTTGTAAAATTCATCAAAAGAAATCACCATCAAAAAAATGACAAAAAGAGCATAACACTGTCATTCCCCGTCTCAGATTGGAGTCATTATGCATAGAAGAGAAGAAGAGATGAGAGCTGGTTTACTTTTTAAAAAGAAACCAGGTGAGGCAAAGTTTGCAATATGGAGAGCTTCATCAGGACACTGGGTCTGGTTTGATACCAAACAAAGTGTTATAAAGATCAGTGCATAACGGCTAGACAAGGAATTACCACAATAGACAAGTAGTATTTGTGTTAAAACTCATTATTTCTATTCATCCATCCATCCATCTTCTATGCTTTATTGTATTAGTCCTCCATCACTAACATTCCTCTTTTTGGTTTGTGGAAGGAAGAGTTGATATCAGGAAATACTCACCCTCATCCAGAGCATGAATGTAGCAATAGTGGAGAGGAAAAACTTCCTTATAACAAGAGGAAACTTCCAGCAGAACCAGAACCTGGCTCACTACAAGCTTGCATCTATGTTTGAGAAGACAAAGCAGAACGCATTAGAAACAGATGAACTGATTTAGGATTATTTTATATGTTCAGAAAAAGTAAATAGTTAATATATAAGGGAGAATGATTAGTTGATGTCCTTCAACAGGAATCTATAGCAGCCAAATGAAATGTCCAACAACATGTAGCGTTGATCACCTGAGTGAAAAACACACTGAGAAAAAAACATAAAGTTCATAGTTGAAACAACAGCAAAAATACTACATAGCAAACTACCCAGCTCCATTCCCTTTAATTTCCTTTTATTTATTTCTTTTTTATTTTTTGTTTAAAATTTTGTGTAGTTATTTTGACAGAAAATGGCATAAAATCTCTGTGATCTGGATGGATTCTATTTCTCATAATTTTTCATTCTTCCTACTAAAACTAACAAAGCTGTTTGTCCCAATGAGATTCATTTGTTTGAACAAAGTAAAATGTCGCTCATTAGTCTGGAGTTCAGTAAACAGACTTTCTCTTTGTAATTTGAACTGACCTCAAACAAGAAATGTTGATGTTTCACACTGTGGCAACAGCTTGTGTTTGAGAATTGATCAGGGAGCTGAGTCAGAGCTGTAAGGGCTGTGGTGTGTGAACGAGGCTGGCTTCAGGTTGAGCCAGGGCAGTGGTGGTTGCTTTGAAGCAAAGGTTTAATGACAACTTTAAAACGTGTGTTTTTAAAAAGTCTTCTAGAGTCACTGAATATTGACGACTCTGGTCTGGCTAAGGCCATAAGTTTAAGTTCATGGTTCATTCATATAGCCTGGTTTTAATATTTTTCTAAAATGTTAAAAACAAATTGGTTTTAATGGAAGCCGTGACAAATTTTTTCTTTAAAATATATTTTTTTAAGACATTATGCCCCTTCTATATAAGCAAGAAAAATGTGTATAGAGACAAATGATCTCAGTTCATGCTATAACCTTTTATACATGTTTTATATATTACAAGACTGTGCCACCTCTTCTCCTAAATTCACATAATTGACATAAAAAGTTAAAGGGCCGGTGATAGTTCTACTAATGTTGATGATACCAAGTGCTTAAATTGCAGCTCAAGGTCCCATGTGTTCTACTTTCAGCTGCTTCACTGTTCTACTTTTATTAAGTAGAACAGTGAAGCAGCAAAATGACTTAAAATGAAAAAAGAAGCTTCTTTGCATGTTCAATCCTCAATGGGACTGCAGACAGTTGTTCTTTTTAAAAGGATTAGTAAGACTGACCTGATCAGAATGATGTTCATAATTTAAATCATTGACGAAACCAAAAAATAATTTAAAGTAATTAAAATATGTGCAATTATTGATTTTGTGGAATAAGTGCAGATCTCATGATGCAGCAGAACTCTGTCTTTCTCCAGGTGTGTCTTCTTTAAGTCATTCTTTCATCTGAATGAGTCTGACAGGAATCGGTTTGATGTCTGGCCTAGATGCCAAGTTGATGGCAGCATTATCGCTGCTGATGTCTTTCAACAGGAGACAAACCAAGCTGGAGTTTGTCTTCTTGTTTGGTTGGTGGTATAAAATAATCTTAAAGCGAGACAAGCAGACTTAAATTGATCTAAGTCCAAATAATCTGCCTAATAGGTTGCCTACAAATTAAATGTTCAGTCTGTGGCTGCAGAAGCCAACTGGGATCATTCTTTTAACCTGATGCTGTGGCGCACAGTTGGAAAGTCTTTGCATAACCTGCTGTCATCACCGTGGGTGCCTCTGAGCTGCAGTTATGCAGTGTTGTCAGCAAGATGTTAAGGTAACATGATCCAAAGGGAGGAAAAGGACAGCATAGTTAGAGTTCATGCCATGCTGCCTACTTAACTCCACTATGTCACCAGCTTCTCACATGTCTTACATACCAACACTATCAGACAGCTTGACATGAGCAATACACTGAGCAGTTGACACTTCATACCTTTACATTTTAATGAGATAACAAATAGACAAGAACATAATTTGCCATTTGAAAATGACTCCTGTGTGCAGAAACACAGAAACTCTTGACTTCAGTCTTATTAGACAAGATGATTAGTTTGCCAGGAACAGCCTGTAAAGGTTTAGCTGTTTAATCATCCATCCATCCATCCATCCATCCATCCATCCATCCATCCATCCATCCATCCATCCATCCATCCATCCATCCATCCATCCATCCATCCATCCATCCATCCATCCATCCATCCATCCATCCATCCATCCATCCATCCATCCATCCATCCAAATTGGGCTTCTGAGAAATACTTTTGGAAAAACATAAAAAGCCATGACATCATCATCATAGAAAGTTTAATAAACTGACCATAGGTAATCAGAGAAATAACTCTGGTGAAATTCTATTTATTTTTTATACTGTAAGATGTCACTTTGATAAAGAGCTCTTTATTTTACATGGATCCCAATATGGGCATATCTATGAGTTTATATAAACAGTATGTTCCATATAACAAATTGCAAAAAAAGGTGTATGTGTCTTTCTTTAGTGTATGCAAGCTTCTGGTTTTAATGGTATTTACGATAAAATCTTCTTGGGGAATATGCCAACCAAACAACAAACTGGGACACATCTTCAAAATATTTTTTAGTTGACCAAAGTTGGGTCTATAGTCAGTGAAGTTATTCTGTCTTCAAATGACTCTACTTATTGGCTAAAATCTAATAGTAAAGGAATAACAAAATTGTGATGGACACAAACAAATGCAACTTGTTAATATTAGAAGGACAATTCCACTATATTTACTCATGAGCAGACTTCAAAGGAGTAAAGTTGACTTCTGATGTCCCCGGGACTACAGTAGCCGTGACAAGTGAAAGGAGAACTGGTGGTCTCCAAACAGCTATGACCACATCGTAAAAATCTCTGCCATAAAGACCAACTGGCCCCTCACACTGACCCTCCAAAAATAAAGGCAAAGGTTCAGAAGCTGGGTGGTCCCTTTTATGGACAATCAAAAGACAAGAATAGTTTTTTACAAAGGGAAATAAAAAGAAGAGTCTCTTAAAAAACCACACTGTTCTTCAGCAGCTGGGCTAATGTGCTTCCACCTCCATCAATGTGCTGCCATGTTCACCATTTCAGCTTTCAGATTGCTGATGGAGCACTGTCTGTGCAAGGAAGTCATTCCTGACTGTATGTTGGTCCTTTTAGTCCTAGAAACTTTCCATTTTATACAAAGAGATGTGAAAATATACAACTTTTTGTTACAAAGGCTGCTGACCCTGAGGTATTGCCCTGCCATTTGCAGCCTGACCATTTGAGCTTGCCAAATTTGACACAGCTGACTCAGGCAATAAATTTGAACTAGTTTCTCCACCCCCTTTATCCATGATGGGAACTGCCCTTCCAAGCTTCTGAACACAAACACACACACGCCCACACACACATGTTTATGGGAGAACATCAGCAATTTTAGCTTAAGAATCATCTGATGTGGTTGTTTTCCACAGAACACCAAGGGAATCAGGAAAATAACAAATCTGAAGATGAGTTAAACAGTGTAATTAAATCTCAACATGGAGGAGTAGGTTAGATTTATGTAAGATAAATTATTGGCTATGCAAAGTGCTAATGAATGATGTCCAAATTTACAAGGGTAACCAAACAAATCAATGTGTGGCAGGTGAAACTCAATATGCTAATTCATGATCAACACTGAAGAGCTGCAGACGACTGCTTTATTTCAGGGAAAAGACGTAGCAACATTTGTGACCACAGACTTAGTGAGTCCCCTGGTTGTGATTCTTACTGTAACAAACACTGGTTGTGTTTGGGTGGTGGTGCCTGTGGAGTGGGGAAACAGTCCTAGCATTTGTGTTATGTTTAAGGAGTAAAATGTCAATGAGC